AAAAAAAGTAATCTGATTACGTAACTCGCGTTACTTGTAATGCGTTACCCCCAACACTGGTCAGTGGTGTTGGTATTTTGCCTCGGTTACAAAGGCAATATAGTGGGCCGCATCTGTGACATGCTGTCAGTTACTATAGACAACAGTTTCCTTCATTTCTTAAAATGAGCAGGAAGCGTTTGACAAAACTTCCCTCCTAGTGACCATAAGTGGCCTACATTATTGTGAACAAGGATCCGCGTCGTCTTCTTTGTCTTCCTCACACACAGGAGGAGTTCAGTCATTCAGTGGACAGTCTGGCCTTAACTGTGGATGAAGTCATTAATGTTCGGCGGATACTCGTCAAGGCTGAGATGTAGAAATACAAAGAGCTTTATAACAATCTGAAGAAAGGCAAGGTGTGAATATCTGTATGGATCACAATCACATGCTCAGTCCAACAAGCCAAAGAAAAGAGTGCTCATTTTTGTTTTGTTCATCTTTGTTTTGTAGATATCGTCTCAGGTTACTTATGTAACCATGGTTCCCTGAGTAGGGAACGAGACACTGCGTCCTCTAGGGGTCGCTATGGGGAACGCCTCGTCGTGACCCGTGTCTGAAGCATACATTGAAAAAACACCAACTCGTTGGCCGGCGACAGCCATCGTCTGTCCTACCAGACGTCACTACCGGTGCGACTATAGTATAAATAGGCGCCGGGAGCACAGACCGGTCAATGAAGACGAAGAAGAGAATGATGTGTGCTCCCGGCGCCTATTTATACTATAGTTGCATCGGTAGTGACGTCATGGCTGTCGCCGGCCAACGAGTTGGTGTTTTTTCAATGTATGCTTCAGACACGGGTCACGACGAGGCGTTCCCCATAGCGACCCCTAGAGGACGCAGTTTGAAGTTCCCATGAAAGGGAAGCTGCTGTTGTCGGGTGAAGTGTCCACTGTTTTCATGGCCGTCCACATGCCTCCTGTGTAAACGGTCTCGGTTTCGTTTTCATTAATATTTCCTGCAGTGTGGAATATTAACATTGTTCGATTCGCTCTTCTGATCTGACAGTTAATGTGTTTTTTCTCTCTCTCTTTTAGGTCTGTAGCTCTTGTAGTGCAAAGGTACTAAATGTTTATTTCATTTAAAGTCATGCATCACTTAGTAGTAGTCGCTAGTAGTACGTTTTTCACACTATAGAACACTGACAATGTTCAATGTTTCGTTTCATAAAGATATTACTTTACAACCTCGGCCAGCCACATATTATGAGGTAGTTCTCGCTATAAATGAGTTTATGGCTCCAAGTTGATAATTGGTTCTTGTTCTTAAAATCAACATTTACATTAGTTTATGGCCATGAACTACATAGGTTCAATAATATGCTAAATGAATAGCATGATATTGTATTTTCTGGTGAACTACAGTGAGAAAGACACAAACTCCAGAAAGTGTGTTTGTACTGTTGGTTTGTTAAACTGGCACACTTAAAGTCTGCTAAATTGCTTAATGCACTTTAATTGTGAGGAAGTAGTGCTGAAGTCCAACTAAAGATATACTGAAGTATATTAGATTGTGCTATTGCAAGTAAACTTTAGGTGCACTTAAATTTCTTGCATTTAAAGACCCATATTATTCAAAGATCACACAATCCTCATCAGTAGTGGCATTAAAACACATTTTAAGCTTAATATTAAGAAATGTGCATTGTGTACAAGTAGTACTCCAAACAAAGTTTAGTTATCATTTTTATATCAGTCTCAAGCGATATGTCAGTATATATGTTTGAATAGATTTAAACTATACTTAGTATGAAATAAATGTATTTTAAATAGATTACTTTATAGGGTGTAAATCGCTGAACAGTGAAGATTAAGAGTTCAGATTATCTCCAAAACATTTAACAACAGTTTTAAATTACAAAAACACTGAGCAATTAAACCCAGCTTCAATACAGCTGTAAAAACAGAACTAATACCATTCACATGGTCAGTGAGTAACTCATTCACATATCATGACTTGTCACACAACTTTTCCATGTTGGCATCTGCATTTTGCTACTAGCAAGTAACAGATGGATTTAATCTAAAGTACAGTAGAGTTGGATTGGACTCACAGCCTCACAGACGCCAGTAACAAGTGATACGGGAAAACCTTTCTCCTCCAAAAGTTAATAAGCTTATTTATTTTGCTAACTATGCATTGATTATATGGTTGGCTGCATTCTTCTATTATTAGTTATTACCCATCTGCTCTCCTACCATTTGAGGACCAGTGCTTTAGGGCTTCTTTTTCTAAATAAATTTTTATTACACACTGCCGTTTCAACAGTAGAAGCAATGTCACAAACTCCACAAGTGCTTTATTTTGTCCCTTTAACAGATGAAAATTCCATAGAAAAAGATGGCACACATTCCCGTGTACACCGTGGGATTTCACAGCAGTGCGAAGAGTCACAAGAGTGAAGTCTATAAGTGAGTAAATATATACAGCCACATTCCACACCGTCTGTGCTGGCCAGGAATTAGCTTTGAAATTACATTAGTAACAAAGTCACAGCTTTGAACTTACCAATAACATTTTTCCAACATCAACAAAAAACCAGAAGCTGCATCTGACATTACGCTTATTTACACAGACTGTTGCTCAAAGGTGACGTATGCATTTACAAGACAATTGCATAATGTACATTGTAGTCAAATTGACCTCGTTTCTTGTTTTGATGAACTTTGCACTGTTATTAAACGGAACCGAATCTTTATAGAGATACTTTGAGTTTGTTTCATAGCTGGTGAACTTTGTGACATTCACACAGTTAATGAACTAAATTAAATCAACACTGAACTAAATTGAGCTGAATAGAGCCACTGTTGTCTATAGAGCTGCACAGCTGAAACTGAATTAATTTCATAGTTGAGGAATTTTTCAGCGCAGTTATTTTCCTGTTTAATAACGTTTGAAGCAATCTGTATTGTATAAAGTGCATTATACCATGGTCTGTCTGAATACTGGATTCTGATTGGCTGGCAGGCATGCATTAAAACTCTTTAATGCACAGGTAGTTCCAAGTCAGTTTAATCACCGTTCTATATTAATGTGCTGCTTTAATTGATGCACACTAACCAACACACACACACACAGAGAGAGAGAAAGCGGGATAATGCATGGCTAGCTGTGGGGTGGTTCTTGGCCTCCACGTCGTGCATTAAAATCGTTTAATGCACAGCTAGCCATGCATGCATTATCCCTTACAGTCAACTGGAGTGCTGGCATGATACAAAAGTTAAACCGACATTAGAAAATCCTAAAAGTCTGTCTGTTTGTCTGCAGGTCTTTGTGCTCTCTCTCCAGACACTCTGTGGAGGAAGAGTTTCCCCACCTGTACGCCGCAGGCTGCAACCTGAGAGACGTGTGCTCGGACTGCACAAAGTTTGTGGCCGATGTCATTTCCTCCAGTCGCAGGAGCTTGGACATCATCAACAACACACCCAAACGCAATAAAAGGACGACCTCGACACATCCACATCCCACATCACAACCACACGCTTTCTGTAGGATGAGTAAATGAATGTATCAGCTCCTCCTCACACACCCTCTACACACAAACTCTACACAAACTCTACACAAAGCTTCCAGCTGGCAGGCTGCAGTTTTCCCTCTGAAATATTTGCCAGTGTTAGAGGATAGAGATGTGGATCACATGTGAATATCTCCCCTCCTGCACTATGTACATCTAACCACCACATGTATAGATCAAGGAACGCAATGCTTCAAAGGCTAACGAAGAAAGACAATCCTTTTGCATCTTTTCTTTGATTTTAACTTGAGTATAATGCTATATAACTGAGCCAGGACCGTCCATGCTTATACAGTACATCTGTAAATGCATATTTCTCATATCTAATAGCAAATGTATTTTTATGCTTTGGGATTTAGCTCTATTTAGGGTGATGTAATTACCTTGGGACTGAGTCAGGCTGGTTTGTGAAAGTGAAGGTCAGAATGAAGCAGATGATAGTATCTAATTCTGGGTAGACTAATGAAGTGGCCTTCTGATCCACACATTTAACTCACTCTTATTTTGTAAGATCTGCAATAAAACCAATGCCACAAAACGACTGCTCTCTCTAGTATGTGATGTTTCCACACAAGGGCCACATGTGGGTGCCATACTCTTATTGTGTGATTATCATAATATATATTATGTGTGTGTTTTTTTAAAGACTATATGGATAAATATAATTATATTAAAACCTGCCAAGAACATCTTTGGGAAACCTTTTACACCAAAATTATAAGAAAAAAACCCACTTATATTTAAAACATATATTTTGCATAAAGAAAATGAAATACTTTTATGATGAAGATGACTTAAGTTGTATGCTAACCTGCACACAAACACAAGTGATGAAAAGCTTTTGCCAAATGGCAGCTGTAATGAGGTAAAAATCTGTACATGGGCTTCCTTGAAAAGCTGCGGTGACCAATTTAGAGTATGAGTAACACTTTAGAGCAGATGAGAAGAGTCAACATTGTTTACAGCTGACACATATGTGCTATATTGATTCACCAAACATTTGACTTCAATGCAGTAACGTTTAATTAAAGATAAAATGGATAGTAATCATGATTGGTTTTTGCCTTTAGAATTATTTAATTTTTTTTGCTAATTAAATATGTAATTAGATCTATCTATCTATCTATCTATCTTCGTTTTATTGAACACTATAGCGTATGTTATCATTCAGCGTGGTGTCCTTTTACAAAAGAGATTAGATTTGTATCTAATTAATTATCAATGAGAGATTCGGGGAATTTAAAAAAAATCTTCCCAGCAAAAGTAAAAAGCACAAAATAAATAAAGTCCTTTAATAAGGCCGTTACAGTGATTTCACCAGGGTAAAGTTAACTTTAGTGAAGTCACAGCACAGCAGAGTGGCTTGTTGCCTTTTTTTTGTGGGGAGGGAAGAAAAATAGTTTTAATCCCCCGCCCATCTCATGAATAATTAAGTACATACACATCTTATGGTTATCTTCGCCGTCCGATCTGAGGAGGTTTTTAATTTGAAAGTTTTTATCGTGCAGCGATCACAGATTCAAGCCGCTGCAGAAATACACCGATGTTTTAACTTCTTTAATAGACACAAAATCTGTTCCTGTTCCTTCCTCTGGGGAAATGCGCGTGTGAGTGGGTGTGTCGAGCGAGTTTAAACTTTAGGATGAGTTAAAGTTTGATCATGGCCGTGTGGACCCGCCCGGAGAAACAGGGTCACCTGGACCTGCTGCTGAGTGACCGCTGGGTCCGGGTCACCGCGGAGCTCACGCGGGACACGCTCACCCTGACGGCGGAGGGCGAACCCGGCGGGCCCGCGGGACACTCCGAGCACAGCTCTCAGTTAAGAAACGGCGTTTCCGGTGGCAACGAACAGAACCGAGATGTTTTTCAGAGCCGCGGGCAATACGACAGTCAACGGGTCAACGGGTCCGACTCAGAGTCCAGCGGTTATTGTGACCCGGATGGGGTTCGGAGGGTTCGGATAGTCAAGCAGGAGTCCGGCGGGCTGGGGATCAGTATTAAAGGGGGACGGGAGAACCGTATGCCAATCCTCATATCGAAGATCTTCCCTGGTTTTGCGGCGGATCAGAGTCGAGCCCTGCGGGTCGGCGACGCGATCCTGTCCGTCAACGGCAGCGACCTCCGCGACGCCACGCACGACGCGGCGGTGCAGGCGCTGAAGAAGGCCGGGAAGGAGGTGACGCTGGAGGGTAAGCCGATCACTCGAGCCGCGGGGATTCTGCAGGCCCGCACGGAGCGCCGAACTTCTCACTTCAACGAAACAGCGTTTTTATCATTGATAATGACACAAAGGTCAGAACTTTTAGTCTGGCACTATGAAGCGAGACTGAATAGGTTTTATAATGTACTTTAGTTATTGTTTCGTTGAGTTTAGACTGTTTTCATGTCAGTAAACAAGTTCATTTGACATTTGCACTTTTAAAATATAATTGGGGTTTATAAGTGTGTGATTTACATTAACATTTAAAAATCACAACTGAAGTTTGGATATACAATTGATAGTGCATGAATCTAGGTCTTTTCTGATAATAATACGATCATTTATTTTGCTCTAACAGCATATGTTCATTAATGTTTCTCCAAGCGCCAGAAGTGAATGTGTGGGAATGGGATACAGAGAGATGGACGGAGGGAGAGACAGAGACTTTATTGCTGTACTTTCTTGGCTAGCAAGACAGTTTAGTTTGCAAGGCCCACTTTCTATGATCTAATCAATTCCCAGTTAACAAAATCAAATACCGCCCACCTCTCTTTCTTTCTTTCTTTCTTTCTTTCATTGATTGATTGATTGATTGATGGAAACTATGGATGCACCGATAGGATTTTTTTGGGGCCGATACCGATTTGAACAAACAACTATTGGCCGATTCTGATACCGATGTCAATTGCATAAAGCAGGGCTTAAAAATATCGATCGGTTCACTCCGAGCAAAATCGGTATTTGAACGTTTCTGTTCCTGCGTTCCTCTGTATTATTACGTTCCGATTTTAGTAGAAAAAATACTGGTTAATAACGTTATTTTTAAAACTTTTTCTTTGCCAATAATAATAATAATAAAGTACAGTGCTTTTTTTACTCAAAAAGAAAAAAAAATCACGAAGAGAGTCTTGATCTGGTACTTGCGCTTAGTCATAGCCAATACAGCATCACCGTTTCTAGATTTTGACCAAATTTATTAAACAAAAGAAAAAACTGTCAACGCTTTAAAGACATTAAAGTAGGCATTCAAGATATTTATAAATGTTTGCAGCATGGATAAAAAAAAAACGCTACTTCTATAAGCCTTTTGAGAGGAAAAACAGCCTAAATTAGTAGGCTGTACGTCACATTTTATTATTACATTCAGAAATAATGTAGACTAAAATACCGGTAAATAAAGCAAAATGCTTACAAACATTACAAACACAATTAGGCTATTTTAGATTCCCTCTCTCCACAACAAATCCTCTAAAGTTGTATTTAGGCTAAATATAAACGTCAAGCCAAAACAAATTCTTAAAGGTGCCATAGAATGCATTGATACAATATTTTAAATTGTTCTCTGATATCTACATAGAAGGTACGTGGCTTAGGTAATGTGGCTTAGGTAAGGGCAAAAAATCTCCAGAAACGGTTTTACATGTCCATTTACAACCCTAGGATTTGTCCCTAGAATGAAATGGCCTGTTTTTACCTTATTTGGAAGGGTCATGAATAATAATGTTGAGCTCTGCTCTGATTGGCTGTTTCACAGTGCTGCTCATTTCAGTAGCTCACACAGCATGAAGGAAACACAGGGAAAATATATTTCAATACTCTATCTCTCAGTTATATCTCTGAATACAGACACCAACCCATCCCTGCACATCACATTCCCTGCACAGCCTGGAACATGACATTTATTTCCATGATCTGCCACATGTACAGAACTGTTACTATTCAACTATGCCAAGGTAAATACAGTTTTCCATTCTATGGCACCTTTAAAAGTGAAACTGAAGCCTACCTCTCTCATTCTGCATGAATCCAAATGTTTCCATATTCACAACGTATCTGAATGCTAAACTATTTTTTATTATGTAAACTATATGCTTTGTTCTTCACTTTATCGACGTAAAGCATCATCCTTCACATAAGCTATAACAGCAGTGAGGCGGTGGTCACGCTGAACGGCACAGACTGTATTACGGACTATTTAAATTGAGCAGTGTAACTTTTTATGTTTCTTAAACTACATTTTATTTTGATAATGACCAGGCTGCGATGTCAAGTTAGCAAAAATTTGTTGTATGTGCGTGTGAGGTGCCGATCACTACATTGTTTTCCCAACTGTTTCCCAATACCGAAATAAAGAAAACTGCTTTCTGCCGTCTCGGTTTCCTTTCCGTGAACTTCGGAGCGTGTTATAATTATCCGAAACTCGGCACAATTTTTTCTTTCGTTTTGTTAAAATGTTAATTATTTCAGTGAAATATATTTTGTATATAGGCCTATATATTCCTTTTTATGTAGCCAATATAGTTTTATTCTGTTTTCTCCGTTCACAGTGCGCAGGTGCGTGATGTGAGCTTGTGTGAATCGGTGCTCTATACTATCCTGCCATTTTTGCTGGTTTCAAACACACAAAAAGCTGCATTACCTGCCATTCATTTTCACTTAAATGTAGGCCTAATGCTTGGCGGTTCGTGATATATCCTCGGATAAACTAACGCCGGGGCATTGCCAGTAACTTACCTATGATGAATTTACAGCTGAGCGTGGGCATTTCACTTGTTGGATGCGTCAGCGTCACATTTGCATAGGCCAGGGGTTCTCAAAGTTTACATTCAAAGGTCCGAACCTGAATTGTCATCAACGTCAAAGGGTCCGAAATAATTGTTATTACAAAACTTGTTTTTAATAACATGCTTATAACTTTATATAACAATTCAACTTTGCTAATTAACATATTCATAATGTCATCAAGTCGTACTTGCATTTACTCTCTGAACCGTTACATAAAGTACTGCATTTTTATACAACTAAATGCCCAATAAAGCAGTTCTCATGTACATATTTTCTGTTTCTGAAATCAGCCACTTCATCTGAATCGCTAAAATCTTGAATTATAACTGCAATACGCTGTTTACATTGCAGTGAATTATATTACTTTATTTATATCATGCAGCACAAACGTCCGTCTGTGTAACAAACTACACTGAACAAAATTATAAACGCAACACTTTTGTTTTTGTTAGTGAGCACTTCTCCTTTGTTGAGATAATCCATCCACCTCACAGGTGTGGCATATCAAGATGCTGATTAGACAGCATGATTATTGCACAGGTGTGCCTTAGGCTGGCCACAATAAAAGGCCACTCTAAAATGTGCAGTTTTACTTTAATTGGGGGGTCCGGAGGGGGTCCGAAAACCAGTCAGTATCTGGTGTGACCACCATTTGCCTCACGCAGTGCAACACATCTCCTTCGCAACAATCAGGTTGTTGATTGTGGTCTGTGGAATGTTGGTCCACTCCTCTTCAATGGCTGTGCGTAGTTGCTGGATATTGGCAGGAACTGGAATACGCTGTGGTATACGCCGATCCAGAGCATCCCAAACATGCTCAATGGGTGACATGTCCGGTGAGTATGCTGGCCATGCAAGACCTGGGATGTTTTCAGCTTCCAGGAATTGTGTACAGATCCTTGCAACATGGGGCCGTGCATTATCATGCTGCAACATGAGGTGATGGTCGTGGATGAATGGCACAACAATGGGCCTCAGGATCTCGTCACGGTATCTCTGTGCATTCAAAATGCCATCAATAAAATGCACCTGTGTTCGTTGTCCATAACATAGCTTCCCTGAGACGGTTTCTGACAGTTTGTGCAGAAATTCTTTGGTTATGCAAACCGATTGTTGCAGTAGCTGTCCGGGTGGCTGGTCTCAGACGATCTTGGAGGTGAAGATGCTGGATGTGGAGGTCCTGGGCTGGTGTGGTTACACGTGGTCTGTGGTTGTGAGGCCGGTTGGATGTACTGCCAAATTCTCTGAAACGCCTTTGGAGACGGCTTATGGTAGAGAAATTAACATTCTATTCACGGGCAACAGCTCTGGTGGACATTCCTGCAGTCAGTATGCCAATTGCACGCTCCCTCAAAACTTGTGACATCTGTGGCATTGTGCTGTGTGATACAACTGCACATTTTAGAGTGGCCTTTTATTGTGGCCAGCTTAAGGCACACCTGTGCAATAATCATGTTGTCTAATCAGCATCTTGATATGCCTCACCTGTGAGGTGGATGGATTATCTTGGCAAAGGAGAAGTGCTCACTAACACAGATTTAGACAGATTTGTGAACAATATTTGAGAGAAATAGGCCTTTTGTGTACATAGAAAAAGTCTTAGATCTTTGAGTTCAGCTCATGAAAAATGGGGGCAAAAACAAAAGTGTTGCGTTTATAATTTTGTTCAGTGTATGTGCATATTTACAGACGAACTATGATCATGTTCATATGCCCAGACAGTCAACAGTGATAGGTTTCTGAAAACAATGTTTTGTACTCATTCATTCACAAGTCTGTTGCGGTTCGGTCAGTTGAATGTGCTGCTAACTCTGCCGGTCAGGAAAAACCTTGCGCTCACGGGGCGAAACCGGTGACATTATTCTACTGAATGAAAGCTAAAAGGTTTATCCAAAATGTCGCTAGTTGCTATCTGCTTTGTCTTACAAAAAAGTCGGTAAAAACTGCAACACTGGTTCGCCCCTGTGTGTGTGTGTGTGTGTGTGTGTGTGTATGTATGCGTGTATGTGCCACGGAGGTCTGAGTGATACGAGTGCACTTGAAATACGAAGTGGACGGCGGGTCCAGATCGAATTCCCTCCGGACTTTGAGAAGGGCTGGCATAGGCCGTACTATGCTGCTGTCTGACAAACTATATTTTGTACAGATCTTATTTTGTTTTGGCAAGTATTTAATTATTTTGCCCAGAGGAAAATGTTGGATTATGCAACAGACATGCAACTCATTGTCTCCATGCAGTTAGTTAATAAACCATCAGTATCGGTCCTTTTCATGCTATTTCCGATATGCTGATGGCTTTAAAATAATCAAAAATCGTCCGATAAATATCGGCGGCCGATACATCGGTGCATCCCTACTGGAAACGTTTGTTTTTAGTAGGGCTGAGTATTGTCACATTAATTCCAGCTCACAAGCTCCTGACTCGATTTCGATTACATATCAGTTCATTTAATCGGTGGTTGTCATCATAACTTGTTTTTATGACAGATTTACTTACACACGTTAAAAAATCAAGACATCACTAACAGGTTAATTAAAAATAGAAATTAATATGTAATACAGTGCATTTATTTAACTAAATGTTGATCTCAACAGTAAATTTTTTCTAGCTATCTATTGACTAATCTATGATCTAATCCAGTGTTTCCCAATTCCAGTCCTTGTGCCCCCCTGCTCTGCATATTTCGTATGTTTCTCTTATCACATACGACGTTTGTTCTATTCGACCGTAATTGCCCTGCGAAGTAGACATCACAGGATATTCCGCCATGATTCCAGTTCGAAACGAGCGTATATGTTCCATACAAAGGGCATTAAAGTGGTGCGAGACGTGAATTTAAATAGTATTTATTTACAGAGGTATATATTATTTCACACTTCTCTAGTAAGTTTCGTCTGTGTGTGAAGACGCTGCGTAGCGCAAATCTGTGAATGAATGTTCCGAAGTTAAGTAAACTTCAACGGATTTCCCCTGCTCAGGGAGTAGGGAGCAATAAACAGTGTGTAGGGACCATGTCAATCGGAACACAGTTCATGCACGTAGCTCTCTTCTAACGAGCTGATGATCTGAATCAGGTGTGTTAACTAAGTGAGACTTGCAAAATATGCAGAGCGAGGGGGGCGCGAGGACTGGGATTGGGAACCGCTGATTTAATCTATGGTCATTGAATGACTTTCCTGAGGTAACATTTCATGATGTTTTACTGACCTTTTTCTGACTGATTGAGTGATTACATGACATGATATATTTCACTAAGTTATATGCCAGCTGTTTCTTTCAAACTTTCTTTTGATGTTCATTCATGTTTATTTTGTGCTGCAACTAGTAGTAAAGAGAAAGATGATCAGTTCATGTGCCGCTTGAGCTGAGGTGGCTACAGTGATCTGTCACGCCACATTAAATATCACAATCCATCTTTATTGTTTGGATTTGGTGATAAAATTACCAGAATTTGAAAGCTGAAAAGTAACAAAGCACAAAACCTCTTGCGAGTATTGGATGGGAGGCACTGGAAATTATACAGCAGTATCTGTACTTTCACTCAAGTAATGGAGTTGAGTACTTTGTCCGCCTCTGACTATTATACAGGACAAAATACTTATAGGCCCCATTATATACTCATATTACTGATAGTCTCTGCTGACGGCGGCCCCGTGTCGTCAGTGGTGGTACATGTATCATGGTGCAACACGTGTTATTCTGCAGCACTGCCTCATGATCAGAGATCTGCAGGCTGACGTTCAGATATGTGGAGCAGTGTCTCATGGGATGGGCTCTGCTCGCACATACATTATCCTCTGTGGCACCGGCCTAATTAAAATGAGAGCTGAAGCTGTTGGATGGTCCTGGTGGATCTAATGAGATCTTTAAATGGCTCAGAAATGATCCCATGATGTGGCACAATAACAGTACAGCAAATTCTAGAGAATTCCACTAGAGAACTGTACAGAGATATGCATTATAAACCAAACCAAACCAATCAGTTCAGTTTCTGGTGAATGATTATTATCAGATGCATGTCAGATGAGTGTAGCTTCTCAAGATGTTGTGTGAAGCAGCAGTGAGTGATTAAATCAGCCATGAACGGTGAAGCTGATAAGAACAGGATGCTGGTACAGACCACAATTCTTTTGAGAGTGAAATGGAAAGCAATTCATCCAGCCATAATAATTAGCAGCTTGCAGAATAGACGTAACATTTATGAGAAGTTCAGTCTCCATGGAGTAAGCTGATGTAAGGTGCCATGCTTTGCTTCTTGGGGTGAAATATCGGTAGATTGAGAATCACCTTCTAGGGTCTATATATATATAACCAATCACACACGATTCCGTTGAGCTTATGAATGCAATGGCCAATCAGTCGTTCAGATGAGTCATCGCTGAAACATCTGCGTTTTGTTGTGCAGTGTGCGCTCGCTGACTGAATTCTGCTCTCTCGCAAATTCTCTCATCATAAACTACATGCGATGTACAGTGCCGTGCAAAGGTTTTTGCCCCCTTCCTGTTTTTTTTAATTTTTTGCATATTTGTCACACTTAGAAGATTCAGGTCATCAAATAAATTTTAATATTACACAAAGATAACCCGAGTAAATACAAA